TCATGCTTATACATTTAATATGCATTTGAAGTATATTAAAGTTAACTGAACTATAACCAATCGCATTCCTATAGTTGTTTAGTGATTCTGCTAAGGATCAACTTCTTCAGCTTTTCTCGATAACAAAATACGATGAAATTCAATATCAATGAAAACTAAGTAACCAGCGATCCAACAAAAAACTAAGTATGAAATCCAATTAACAATAAAAGAACGACTTAATTAACAAACGAATAAGTGAATAATCGAGTATATACTCTGTGTAAGCGAATACCTAATCTGACCAGAATAACTATCTAACAAATGAAAAACACTCTCGAACCTTTATGTGGATTGCCTTCTTCGAGAATGTATTCGTTGTCGAGAAATTTTGCGGTTGCCTCTGAGATATGTACACGGCCGGCAATACCAGTTGATTCCATTTCATTTGCAAATGTTACATCATTTGAAAATACGTCGAATTTGAATCTTTTCGTTCCAACCATGCCACACATCACCTAAATAACGATCGATCATTGATTCGATACTTTGACAGCTACTCTAATGATCATGATAATAATAGTCATTATTATAGATGCTAATATCATCATTATTATTGTTATCATCGCTAATTCATTCAATAGATTCCAATTAATTCAATGAATGCTTGAAAGAATGGGATATGAACCATCAATGAACCTTGCCAGTGTGGATTCCAACCCGCATGTTCACTTCCTGACCACGATCAAGATCAAACTGACGTATAGCAATAATCATTGCCAATCCCATTTCAACACAACATTTCGCATGATCTTGCCTTGGTTCCGGACATCCAGCAACACAATAATAACAATCGCCTTAACATTTCATCATTCACAAGAATGCTTTTCGCTCTCTTTCAGCAAAATTCTTTTTTATCAAATAAGTTTATGAAGTAAGTAGAATTTCAAGTGAGTTTATCACATTTTAGTGCAAAAGAATCGCTCACTTCAATGAAGAGAGCAATTCAAACAATAATATAATAAAATTGAAAATATAAGCAGATTTCTGGGCAAAACGATCATTGTAAAACCATACCGAGCGTACTGATTTTTTCAAG